ACTCATTTGCCTTCGGACATGGTAAGGTGGGTGAAAAAAAAGGTGACTGAACACATCATTAAAAACAAAACAATATATATAGTTTTTTCTATTCCAATGGTCAGGCCAAAAACCTTGACATTTCCTTCAATTTGCTGCAATCATATGAATAGCCCTCCAAATATTCTATTCCTATGACTGGTACAAAAAGTCATGAAAATCAATGAAAACAGTGCATTCATTGGAATAGAAAATAGAGCTTTAAAAAAATATATATATATTTTTTATAATGAGGTCCTCCAAAAAAGTATATACTTTGTTAGGCAAGCTTAACCACCCGGGACACCAATTAAGTTGTTTCTACTTAGATACTTCACTACTAATTATGTTTGTATCCTCCTTGACAAAATTAGTGGTGACTCGCCAGGTGTCAGGCTCTCAAGATTTAGCAAACAAATAGAAATAGAACATATTTTTTTGTTTAGGTTTAACTGGTTAACTATCCTACAGTGTATCAAGTTTAGTTCACGGTTTACTCTCGTCTGGACTCTGGACACAGAAGATGGAAAAAATCTTCTGGCCGTTGCCACCGAACAGCTGGACAAAAACCAAAAACGTCACTTGTCCACTTGTTTTGTGAGATGTGCATTGTGCAGTGCAAATTCTTTGAACCAACTGTGACTCTGTAACACTGTAAAACATTTACTTTCAAGTCTTCCAGCCCAGCTACAACTGGATATTGAAATTGTACATATTAGATAGTATATGTTATGTTTCCGACTTTTTGGCTGAATGTTACTGCCCCGCTGCCCCTCTAGATGTTGAAGAGGTGCTGCCATGGCACTTGATCAAGGCCAAATTCCTTTGACCATGGGCGAGGACATGTCTGAGGACACAAAGGCCGAGCTCTCAGGCGGTGAAGGAAATTCAGTGGACACCGGCGCCGGGACGTTGAAAGACCTTTTCAATTGGCCGGACACGTATGCCCACAAGATCCTGGAATCACCTCAGTGCTCTCAACTGTTCCGACAGCTGATGAAGTATGACATCCACCACCATGATGAGTCTTTTTCAGGGACAGGTTCTGCAGGGGTATCGCTTCATATGCTTCACAAAGCGTTTGTATCACACCTCCGGGCCACGGAGATCCCACAAGTTACCTGGCACTGGGTTCTTAGATGGCTGCCTTTTTTTCTTGCTGTTCACCAACAGAGTCGCCGGCTGACCGACTTAACATTGGTTAATTTAGTCACTTGAAGGAAGGAGTTTTGTTTTCATGTTAGACAGAAGTCTCTCTGAGGTATGGGATGCATGGACGAGGTGGGCACAGTCAAGACTGTCACCTGCTGTGACCATGACAAGAAATGCCAAAGTGCTTTGAAGTCTCTGAACAAGGACACATTCTGTGTTCAGCTGCTGTTCAGAACCTCTTATCACTTATACCACTTTCAAGCCAAACTTAAACCTAAGACTAAGACTAAGAATATCGACTTATCTAGCAAACAAGCTGGGCAAGGTGCAATGGTGTCACAATCACAAGTGTTTTTCTTTTTCCGGGACGGGGACAGGGCTGGGCTGCGGGGCGGGCGGGGTGGGCCAGGAATTCCGCCCTGAACACGTGCATGCTTCTTTGGAATCCAAAGTTCAACCACTGGTCCTGCAAGAGATGGATTTGGCCTTTGACAAGGTTCATGAAGAACTGAGACTTGCTGCAGGACATTTGGCATAGTCACCGTTGTGGATGCAGACTCTAATAAACAAAACAAAACAATCACCAGCCACGCCACACCCAATGTTCAATGTTTTGCGTTTTGCTCAATTTTGTTCCAATACAGTATCCGTCCAGTCATCAGTCATCCAGGCGAACTTGATGAGGACGAGGCCAAGGAAATCGAAGCCAAATTCGGGGAAAGGCTCCTTGACACTTTTATGCGCATCCTCACCGACAAACCTGGTGTATTCAAATCCTCTTTGCCATGCACCTTTGATGACCATAAGACCAATGAGGTAGGGACCAGTGGTTGAATGGTTGCTGACTGCAGTGTTCAATTGTTGAACCGTTGAATGATGGCTGGAATTTGGAACGCATAGATTTCTTCAACTTTTTTCAAATATACATACATCATACATACTTGTTATATTTCTTCTGGTCTGAACCAGGTGGACGGCTGCCCTACTCCTTGGGGTTTCTCCTCGCTGGAATCACACTTGAATACAATTGATGCTGCATGCGGACCATGTGGGATGGATTCCGTTCCAAAGAAGCCTGGAAGTCATGAACCTCATGAAGCAGAAGACGTAGACATCATGGAAGTGGCACTTTGCACTCCAGAAGAGAATGGACGCAAGCCAAAACCATGCATCCGGGTTGCTTCGGGAGGCAGCGTGTGCACCGATGTCAGTTACATTGGTCCAACCCTCAGCCGTATTACTCCTGGTTTACCTTGATCCTGAATCCTGAAGATAATGATTCATCCCTGAATCTTTGAAGTAGTCTACGTCTACTTACACCTTTTCAGATTCACTATTAATTCACATCACATTATCACATCATTGATTTTCAAGCCAAATGAACAGCACCTGAAAATGAGGTGGGCGTGCTGGACTCTTGGCTCGTTCGACAAAGAGTCTGGCAATCTGGCTGGCAGAGAGGAAGATATCCCGGGAGGCAGTGGTCAGATAGTAGTGTCCTTTCATTTAGTAGACTGGAGTCTTGTTGGGTGGGTTTAGTTTAGTCCTGTTGACACTGTGACACTTGGCAAATACCATGTGGTTTCAACAGAAGTGGCAGTGACTGTGACTGACTGGTTAACGACAGGCTGCCAATAGTTCGGGATTCTGGAAATGTACAGGACAGATACCAAACAAGTAGGCCACAAGAGAAGACCTTTGTTGTATACTGCACTCAGATGTGCAATGCGCTAGGCGGTCATCATCCATGAATGTACCGGTGGTTTTGCGAGATGGCTGCTGTCCAAGTTCCTTCCAGAGTATGACTGGCACTGCTTGGTCAAGACGGACCAAGGGCCTGAAGGGATCGTCAATGATGCTGTCAGTGACCCCTTCTTGCTGAGCCCCACGTGCATGGGGTGGCCTGTCAACAAACCTCGGTTGTACAGTATTGGAACATTGAGGGATGTTTGCCGTCTAGAGCCCAATGAAGAGCAGTCGGCCATTTCCAGGGCTACATTGTTGTTCCAGCCTTGCCGGTTGGATTGCAGTTCGCTCTTTATAGCCCCAAAGGACTGTTGTTTGGTTTTGGGCCCTTATGTTCTCTTCAGTCTTCCCAGCCTCCTTCTCTATGTCCGTATCATATCCAGGAAAATGTTGATACAGAATGACAAGCTGCTGCTATGACTGCTATGAAGCCGAGAAACTCCTCATTCATTGACCTATTGAAAGGACGGCTCTACAGTACTGTACTTGTTCATCCTTCTTGAATCAAATCAAATATCGAATCCCGTCCAGTTATGTCCAATTTACATAACATGTTGAGAAATTGGCTTCTTGCTGAGTCTTGCTGTCTTGATTTGTTGAGCTGTCAGGAGCCAAGCCGTGTTGGCTGAACAAGTACCGTTCTCTGGACAAGGTCAAGAAGCAGTGGCAGAAGGGCTGCTAGTCAGTGAATTCAGAATCACCGCTGCAGTCTGCAGCAGCATTGTAAGCAATTTAAGCAATACTTGACTACTTGAGTTCTTTTTGAAATTGTTGACTTAGACTTGGAGGATGGGGGAGAGGGCTCCGACTCCGACTCATACGGAAACACTGAAACACTTCTCACTTATCATCTTCAGTCTTCAGTCTTCAGGATCTGGAATTGGTGTTGTCCCGAGTCCTGAGGTAGACGATGCATGGTTGCAAACCTTCACCAAAATCCGCAGAAGAGGCCTGTGGTAGGGTATCGTCTGCCAACCCTGCTAAGGCAGGGCTGCATGTGGTTGTTGTTGAATAGAAGCACTGCAGCCGATGACAATGCTGACACAGACACGGATACGAACTTGGAAGAACGCTGGTTACTCCCATCAAACACTCATTTGAATTGGGCAACGGGTTGGTTATGGCTATGGTCTGACTGATTGTTAGACTTTATTGCTGAACAATCGCACAATCGAATCAGGTGTGATAGATATTCACTTCCAATCATTGTTTCTGACTACTTAGGAACACCTGAACTCAATGGGCCTGTATATGTACAGGGATTTTGCCTGTGGACAGCCTTTCCCTCTTTATCACAAGCCCCTTTGGCTTGCGCTGCCAAAGCGATGGCTGGCAACGTGCCCTGGCCAGGCTTGAGAACGGCTTACCATTTTTGTAACTGGATGTCGGATGAGTCGGATGTAACTGGTAGTGTAGTAGTGCTGTGCAGTGCTGTGGAGGTGTGCATGTGGTGTGCGACTGGCTGCCCCGGATTTGAACAATACAAATGACCTGACCTAGGCAATGCACACCTCTTGCGTTGGAGCAATGTGGGCGGTGGTGCTGGGAAGCCTTAAGATCAATACCGATGATTAAAAGGTGAGGTGTAATATCTTGCCTTTGGTAATTCGATCAGGAGTCAGGAGTGCTTGGCTTTTTGCCTCCAAGTCCAGGCCCTCTAGGCAGCAGGGGGCAAAGGCGGAGTCAGGTCATTGTCAAGTTAGGTTTTACGAAGAAGCTAAGACAAAGTTAGATGAAGTCCGCTTATTTGAATTGCATTGTTACATTAACATTCTGCAACGGATTCGGTCATGGCCTCCTGCATGAGAGACATGGAAACCTCACCATACTCACACATGACCGTGTTTGTTGGCTCAGGGGCCCCTTTTTTCTAGCGCATGACTTGCGCTTGGTGCTGACGCGCGCCTACCATAAATCGGTGCTTTGTGTCGCCGTGCCGCTTTGTTCGATCGAGCCCAATTTTGTTTGACGCTCCCTCGCTGCTTCGCTGGATTGGTAGCGGAGCACAAGCTCCGGGGCCTGACGGCCGGTGCTCCCTCCTGAGGAGCTTGGCATTGGCTGTCGCTTGCTTGCCTTCCTCCTAGGTGCCACTACTTGTTCCTGGAGCTCTACAGCTTTGGCCTTGGCACCTGGCTTGCTTGGTTTGGCCCTGCGCCTTTGGCTCATTGGGGGACTACTTGATTGACGCCTTCCTTGGTGCCTCAACTTGCTCTCCGAGCTCTTTGGCGAGTTCACCTGTGGCTCAGGCATTTTGCCTGGCATGACGGAGAAAGACTCCGGACATCATGTCCCATCCTGGGACGGCAGTGCGAGGACGTGGAGGAAATACCATCGCGAAGTGAGCTGGTATGTCCGATCCACGCCAACGCACACACGACGGTACTGCGCGCCTCGCCTTGTGGGACGCCTCACTGGCCCTGCAAGGCTACTGGCTATGTCATGGACATCCGTCAGCTTCGACCATGCTGGCGGAACTCGAGATTTCTTGCGCAGGTTGGCATCCTCTCCACTGGTGCGGCAATCGCTTCCCAATGCGGCTGCGATCTGCCAGCAATACTTCAGTTTCACGCGAAACAGTGGAGAAAGTATGCAGCTTCCTTGTCAGAGAGGCTTTATGCTACGCTGAGTTCAGTGAGGCCATCATTAGACTCTATGAGGAGAAGAATGGCATCCAGCAGCACGACCTGGACTTCGACTTCCCGCCAGATGATGAGGAGTGGGAACAAGAAGAACCATGGACCAGCTGGGGCTACGAAGATGAGGAGACTCAGACCTCACCTGTGGGCTCCACCCATGCAGCTGCTGCTGATAGTGGTTCGCCTCACGGGAACTATGCACGTGCGACTACATCATCGTCACCTTCGAGGCATTCGGCTGGAGTTCAATGGGACCTTCCTGGTGTCACGGAGTTGAGCCTAGCTGACAGCTTCGTCCTTGGTGTCCTACGTGGCTTCCGTCTCTTGCAGGCCTCTGGACTGTCACCAGACGACATGCGAGACATCATCAGCGCAACCAAGGGCAGCCTCGAGTTCGAGGTTGTCACCAAGGCACTGCAGACTCTCTGGGACGACCAATTGGTTGGACGTCGCCATGCTGGTGGTTGGTCTCCCTCCAAGACCCATGAGGCCATGTTTGAAGAAGCAACCTCACCGTCTGATGATTGGTGGGATGACGCCAACGTGGCCCAGTATGATGACAACTATGATGACTGGTGGCAAGATGATGAAGAATGGGGCTATGCCATCGAGGAGCACGAGGGCACGAAGGCTTCTGAGGAAGATGATGATGCGATAAAGGAGGCCCAGAAGGCAGAGCAGATTGCTGAGGGCTTGGCAATGGAAGCCCAACGCTCATGGGCTGAAGCTCAACGTGCCACTCAGGCACTTCGAAAAGATCGCGGGTTTGGACATTTGATTGGAGGAGGCAAGGGGTCTTCTCCTGCCAGGTGCTGGACCTGCGGCGGCCCGCATTTCTCCCGAGACTGTCCCGATCGACGGCATCCCTCTGTTGGCAAAGGCAAGGGCTGGAAGGGTCACTACATGACTGACGAGCTCTACTACATGAAGGGGAAGGGCAAGAAAGGCAAAACTGCCTCATGGATGGAACTTCAAGCCTTCCAGAAAGGCAAATCCTCCAAGTCCGGCAAGGGCAAAAAGGGGACCATGTCACGACCTTCCGTCAATGCCTACACCAACGAGCTTTTTGGTTTAGAGTTTTCTGGAGCCTTGGATGTCCATTCAGCGACATCACCTGTGGCTACCATGGCACCTCACATGGGCCTCATCGACTGCGGATTCTGCCGGGCCACAGATTGCAGTCGAGGCCTTGGTCTCATCCATTTTGACCAAGGACAGTCAAGCGTCCGTGGATCCATACAAGAATGCTCGTCCGTTCTTTCGTTTCGGCAACGGTGGATGGGGTCGTGCACTTTATCAAGTGGTTCTCACGAGCACTGTCACCGGAAGTGCTCGTACCTTCAAGTTGTTTGCATTGCCAAATCCCCCCAACTTACATCACCCGGACTTTGACAGGAACACGTTGGTGCCCATTCTCATTGGCATGGACCACTTGTCAGGTAACCCTTCGGCCATGTTGGTGGATTTTCGAACAGGTTTGGCCATGGATTCCTATGCACTACATCCCAAAGAATAATATCAACTACCATGCAATCGGAAGGGTCACTATATCATGGACATTGTTGAGTACCTCACCATGGGTCAAACCAGGTCTACCGGTCATGCTCGGGTTCGGGTTTCTGCAGATGTGAGTCATGCATGTCACACCTTGGAGTTCCACCCTGTTGAGTACTATGACATGTCAGTTTCTGATGCACACCATGTTCACGAGAGTCAGCTTCAACAGTCACGTGCACTTCTTTTTCAACTTCATCGGAGCAGCTTGAGTTTGCATCCCTTTGATCACCGTGCAGCCCTGGCTTCAATGCATCGCTGCGGAGAAGCTGATTCCAATTCGCTTCCCGCTTCCCCAGCTTCGACTCTCGACCATGGCCCGACGAGCTCCACGTGCCAGCGAGCTGGAGGAAGAGGGGATCCGAGTGGGACATCCGCTCAGCCACGGACAAGAAGGCCACACCTGAGCCAGGACGGTGCTGGCAGATCCGAGGGATCCTCGAACAGATCCCGGCCAATGGCCATGTTATGGACAACATGTCCCAATCAAGGCTCATGCCAATCCACACGGCCGCTGGGTTCACTGCAGCACGTGCAACCTCCCCCTCCAGTACACTCCACGAGTGGGCTCACATGGTCAAAACACCAAGACCGACAGTCCACCCTTGACGGTCAAGATGCTCACACAGCTGTACGAGGTGATGGGAGGGCGCACACCGACGGCCACGATCTGCCTCCTGATGCAGAAGAAGATCGACGCCGACGAGGCTCTGCAGGGAATGGTCGAACCGGTGTTCCAACGAGTGCCCCAGCTGAGCGAGAAGCCTCCCTTCTACGACAAGGAGATGATCAAGGTCAAGAAGGGCAACAAGAAGAGCAGCCGCGACACGAGCCCGGCTCCATCATGGGACAAGGTGGGGACTCCTCCGACGTCACCACCTTCGCATTGGGTCGAACTTCAGGACTACATGGACCCGAGCGAGATGGAGCATTTGATGAAGATGCTTCAAGAGCGCAAGGCAGCAGCCAAGCAGGCTGTGGACATGGAGACTGGATCGGGGAGCCTGGCATCTGCCTACGAGCAGGAAGCCAAGTCAGTGTGAAAACTACATCACGGAAGAGTGCTACAGGCCCTTTGAAGAGCTCTATGATGAGCAGCCCTCGCACTTCATCCCGGAAGAAAATGACACAGGCTTCTCCGAGCACTACACCATCTTCCAAGAGTGCTACTACCAGTTCATCCAGTCCTTCTACCAAGATGCCTATGCCTCTGCCCTTGAAGATCGGCGCTAAGCTGCTGCTCCTGGCTACGACCTTGTTGAGCTCTATGGCAAGTGCAACTATGAGTCCCTGTTTGGGAGACAATGATGGCATCTGGGAGATCGCATGTGCTCCCCACAGTTGGCTGTCGGAAGCATGCCAACGTCAAGGACTTCAACCTCGCCGCATCAATCTTGAACAAGGCTATGATCTCTATAGGAAAGAGACTTGGGAGCGAATGAAAGTCCTTCGATCCAAGAAGAAGCCACGGAAGCTTTGGTTCAGTCTTCCTTGCGCAAAGTTCTGCTGCTGGACCTACCTCAACTATGCATCACGCCCTGAAGAACTTCGGCAGGCTCGCAAGAAGGAAAGGAAGATGCTTTGGTACATGAACGACTTTGTGATGGACAGACACTCTCTCCAAAGCTCCCGACACCAAGATCTACTTCGAGTGGACTCATCCATGTCAAGGGTGGCAAGAACCCCAATGGTCGACCTCGAGACCTTCCTAGCAGCCTTGGACATTCCCTGGCTCTCATGCCGCATCGACGGTTGCGTCTATGGCATGATGGACTCTCGAGGTGAACATCATCTTCACAAGAAGTGGCTTGTCAAGACCACCTGTGAACACTTCCATGCCACCTACAAGACCAAGGTATGCCATGGAGGCCACTCACACACCTTGATTCAAGGCGCCGAAACCGCTAAGAGCGCCTACTACCCTTGGAAGCTTGTCCAGTCCTGGGCACGATTTTGGAGAGCTGAGATGGTGTCTGATCGCAATTCGGCTCCTCTTCATGAAGCAGGATTCACCCGCTGCTCTGGAGGATGAAGAGCTCTACCTCGTTGCCGACGATGACGATGGCACCCTCAATGCTCTTCCTGCTGAAGAAGCCCTACAACCGGTGGAAGTTCCTTCTGAACAAGAAAAGAAACAATGGATGGCAAGAGTAGCTCGTTTCCACAAGGCAGCTGGCCATCCTACCAACAAAAACTTGGCCAAGCTGATCAAGAATGCCGGTCAACCAGCCTGGAAGTCCGAGCTGGCTTTGGAACACAAATGTCCGGCCTGTGAGGCCATTCGACCTGGCGAGAACATTCCACCGGCGAGCACTCACTCTATGTGGAGTGCATGGCAAGCTGTTGGCATGGACACCGCAGAATGGCAGATTCCAGCCACCAAGAACAAGGTGAAATTCGTCCTCATGATGGATCTGGCTACGAAGCTTCGTGTGGTCTGGCCCATCATGGAGTACCCCAACATGGAGATGCGAGCTGAAACTGCCGACCACATCATTGAAGCCTTTGCTGAACGCTGGCTCTCCGTATTCCCGAAACCTGAGATGGTGATAGTTGACAATGGCAAGAGCTTCACCCTAGAAGCTGGCATTCAGGACATCAAACAAGTGGCGACCGTCCTCCAGATGGAGCAACTGGACCTTCGGCCGGCTCATACATTGATTCTGGCCACTTCAGCTCTGAACCAAACTGAATACACTGCTGGGTATTCTGCTCAGCAATGGGCCTTCGGGAAGCACTACTCCCTGACCGATGAGGACCACCGCACGTACGAGCAGGTGGAGCCTTCAACTGACTTTGCCCGCCTCGTTCAAGCCCGACAACAGGCTGAAGAGATTGCCGTGAAGACCAGATCAAGGAGAGTTCTGAGCAAGCTCTCCAACACTCTGGTTCGACAGCCCTTGAGAACCTTCTCTCCTGTAAAGATCTGGCGCCAATTCCAACCAGCTGATCAACACAAGGGCAGCCGTGGTGGCTTCAAGAAGTCTGGACGACCTCAGGTGATCCTCGCCGACACATCCTTTGGGTACTCATCGGAAGCCGCATCTACAGATGCTCAGTTCACAGCGTTCGGCCAGTGACCGAGGTTGAGCGCCTCCAGTACGAGATGACAGCCGATGAGGATCCCACCAAGTGGAAATGTTTGGCAGACATCCTGCCCAAGCGAGAGTTCACTGACCTCGTGGATGAACTCCCAAGGGAGGACGAGATTGAAGTCCCGAACCTTCCGTTCTCTCCGGATCCTGCGACCTATGCTCCAATACGACGAGCCACTGGCAAGTCCACGTTGCAGATCTCCGACTACAAGCTGAAGCATCGCAGCAGTCCATTGGGACTACAACCTCCAGATCGTGAAGTACAACACTTTGTACCTCCTGCTCACGCTTCGAGCTCGGCACGGCCTTCCAACTCGGCCCTACCAGAGGCTGAGGAAACTGCCAATGACTACGAAGACTACACACCGAGTCTTCCTGATGCCGCTGCTGATGAACCTCCTGAAGATGAACCACAACCTTCAGAGAGAGATCCCAAAAGAGCTCGCAGTGAGTATGATCTGAAGTGGGTGGAGGAGCTGAAATCTCACTCCGAGATCGACAACAATGAAGTCTTCAGCTACCTCACCGAATGTCAAGATGATTTGGACGTCTTGGTCATGTACATCGATGTAGAGCCTGAGACTAACACCAAGAGAAAGGCTCTTCTTCGGAACCCCGTCCTCTACCTGGCCAAGAAGTTGAACAATTCAGAAGTGTCCTTGCAGCGCTTGAGCAACCTCGAGAAGGTCCTCTTCCAGCGTGCCAAGATGAAAGAAGTCAACTCCTTCCTCAAGAACAGCGCAGTCCGCAAATGTCTGGATGATGCGGAGATCCGCGAGGCCTATGGCAGTAGCAGAATCTTGAAGGCCAGATGGGTCCTCACTTTCAAGCCCATACCGCCTGATGAGCGTGATGAAGCACTACAAGACAGCCACAACAACCCGGACACGGTGGTGAATCCTCAAGCCACCAAGAAAGCTAAGGCCCGCATCGTACTCCTTGGCTTCCAGCATCCAAGCTTGATGGACAGGAACTTCAAAACAGCTGCACCTGTCCAGAGCGGACTTGGACGATCGCTGCTCTACTTCCTCTCCGTGGTCAACCAATGGGAGATCTGTGGTCTTGATCTTGCCACCGCCTTCCTGCAGACGCAACCGACCGAGGCCGATCAACGTCTCTGGACATCAGGAGTCTCTGAGCTCAAGGAGGCTATGGGACTACCTCAAGACGCTCTCCTTCGCATCCTGCGCAATATATATGGCTCAACGACAGATAAGACTCTTGTTGGCCTTGGCGCAGTCCCTGCTGTTGGCGAGCGATGCCTCTGGCTCTGGTTCAGCAAGCATGAAGTTGACCCGGTGACCTCCACTCCTGCTCTGCTCGGTGCGATGGGAGGGCCACAGAGTTGGCAACAACAAGTCACCTGAGTGGGTTGAGATCTGCCAGAAGATCGATAAGGCCTACCAGTGGGGAACGATCAAACGACGGTCGTACCGTCATGCTGGCACCGACATCAACACCATCGACCAGGCTGACGGCACCTTCCGCCAGGACGCCTACTACATTGAGGGCATACCTGACCTGGAAGTTTCTGTGCAGCGCCTTCGAACTCCTGATCAGGCACTCACGCCCCAGGAGATTGCCTCTTGCCGCACTTGGATCCTTGCAGTGGTTGGCCATCCAGACACAACCACAACTATGCTCTCGGTGCAACCTTCTCCTGACGGAGATCCTGGTTGAGGGCACCACCACACATGCAAGAGAGATCCAGAACATGATCAGCGAGGTCCGTGTCCAACCTCAACGGCTTCGCTTCTTTCGACCTCCCAAGGTGAAGCATTGGTCTGACGTCATCGTCACCACCATGGGAGACCAGGCCCACAGCAACAGGCCAAAGGGCGACAGCACGGGAGGAATGATCTCCCTCCTAGCTGGACCTGACAGCCTGTCAGGTGATGTGACGCCCATGGTCCTCCTGACGTGGAAGACATGGAAGTTGAAGAGAAAGGCCATCGCCTCCAACGATGCTGAAGTGCAGGCGGTCCTGGAGTCAGAGGACAAAAACTTCCGAGCACGGCTGCTGTGGTCTGAGATCAACGGAGCCGGACTCCACCATCGAGACCTTCCAAGAGATCTGGTGGCATCCTCCGAGCTCCAGGCCATGAAGGTGAAGGGAGTTGTCTGTACAGACAGCCGTGGTGGCTACGACGCTGTCGAGACCAACGAGAGCCCGCTCCTAGGGCTCACGAACATGAGGGCAGCTCTTCAGGCCTTCCAACTTCGCGAGAACTTGCGAAGATGTGGCAGCGAGTTGAGGTGGCTCGCGTCGGATTACGACCTGGCCGACTCCATGACGAAGAAGAGGGCCGATAGCCGTGAAGGCCTTCTCAAATTCATGGCCACCTGGCACTGGACGATCGCTTACGATCCCAACTTCGTGGCGGCCAAAAAGAACAAGAAGCTTGGCCTGACGGCAGTCGACAAGATCGACAGAGCTCTTCGGCAAGCTGATGCGCTGTGCTCGACGACCGCTTTTGAGACGATGCCGGAGCCTCCTGAGCCTGTAGCTTCAGTGATCGCTGAGGACCGATCACTGATGTCCTCTTTTCCCCGTGCAACGGATTCGGTCATGGCCTCCTGCATGAGAGACATGGAAACCTCACCATACTCACACATGACCGTGTTTGTTGGCTCAGGGGCCCCTTTTTTCTAGCGCATGACTTGCGCTTGGTGCTGACGCGCGCCTACCATAAATCGGTGCTTTGTGTCGCCGCGCCGCTTCGTTCGATCGAGCCCAATACCTTTGTTTGACGCTCCCTCGCTGCTTCGCTGGACATTCCTAGTGTTTGTTTTCTCTGTGGAATTGTAATTGGAATGAATTGGATTCAATTAGACTACAATTTGTTGACTCAGATTCGGATTCAATCGCTGTTGGATCTTGCATTTGCCTTCATTTCAATCAGGCTTGACTCACTTTTGGCGGAGTTGAAACAGAAAGTGGTTTGTGTTCTTCAGCACATACCATACCAGCTTCTGCACTGCTAGCTCGAGCTAGTCACTAGCTTGTTTGCAATGCAAAAAAGGCGATGCCTTCCGTATTGACACCGACACGGACACGGACTGACACTGGACACCATCTGTCATTTTCAATCAGATTGATCAGGTTGACCGGATTGACCTTGCCCATTACCCTGTTCA